TCAGTATTGTGGGACGTGTTTTAGATGCATTTTGGATATCTGTTGACTCTTTTGATTGTTGAAAGTTTGATGTGTGCTTTAATTTGGCTTTGATCAATTACTCTTCCAATTGATTGGGTTCAGTCGCCCTTGCCATGGAAAGCTGCAACATCAATCTGTGTGGACGAGAGGCTTTTGAGAGATTTCGTTGTTGCTCATCGTTGGCTATCATGTGGTATGCCTTGTAAGGATTATGAATGTTGTGTGTTGTATTAACATAAAAGAGGGATATTTATAGCCAAGGTTACAGGAATACAATACGTACAAGAAAAGGAAAGACTAATTACAATCCTACTAGAATTAGGATAAAGACTAATCCTTAATACGACCCCGCAAGATGGAGGCGACATCAGCAAGCCCAATCTTGGAGCAGAGAAGGCGGAAGCGGGTGCAGAGAAGGGGCTTAGTAAGAACATCTGCAAGCTGAGAAGCTGTAGGCACATGACGGACGATGAGTTGCTTGGCTTGGACAAGCTGACGGACGAAGTGGTAATCCAACGCAAGATGCTTCATGCGCGAGTGAAACACGGGATTGGAGCTGAAGTTGACCGCCCCCATATTGTTGGAGAAGAGAACTGGGGCATGCAGAAGTGGTTGTTGCAGCTCAGAGAGAAGGTTGCAAACCTAGCGGGCCTCAGAAGTGGCAAGAGCGATGGCCCTATATTCTGCTTCAGTACTGGAACGAGCCACCGTCTTTTGTTTATTGGATTTCCACGAAATTAAGGTGTCGCCAAGATAGAGAAGAAAACCAGACGTGGAGGAACGATCATCCGGATCACCCGCCCAGTCAGAGTCGAAAAATGCTCGGGGACGTAGTGGAGTGGACTGGCGGCGAATGTGAAGGCCGAGGGAGCTAGTGCCGGCGAGATAGAGGAGGAGGCGCTTAACATGCTGTCAATGGAGGGAGGTCAGGGCGTGCATGTACCGAGACAGTTTGTTAACAGTAAATGCGACGTCCGGATGAATAGTAACTAGATACTGAAGGGCACCAAGAGCCTGGCGATACAGTGTGCCATCAGCATGAGTAGTGCCGTCAGTAAAAAGGAGACGAGCCATGGAAGCTAGGGGGTGGTGTTGAGACAATGTGAAACTAGTAGGAGTAGGAAAGACTTCAATCCCCAGGAAATTATTCACTTGGCCAAGACGACGGAGAGCAAACCGAGTGGCCATTTGTTCCTGGAATGTACGGAGAAACTCGAAGTTGTTGCGGGTGAGGAGAAGACTGTCTGCATACATGAGGAAGTAGGCGAGAAATCCATGTCGATGATAGACCAACAGCGACGCATTAGAGTGAGTCTTAGTAAACCCACATTGTACAAGGAACGAGCTCAACTCGTCGTACCACGCGCGAGGGGCTTGGCGAAGCCCGTAGATAACGTGGCGCAGTCGACACACGTGATTAGGGAACTGGGGATCTCGAAATCCAGGAGGTTGGGCCATGTAAACCTCTTCCTGAAATGGACCATGAGGAATGCGTTGTTGACATCGAACTGATGGATCGGCCAGTTATGAGAGAGGGCAATGGTGAAGACCGTGCGGACTGTGACGGGCTTGAGAAGTCAACTCCAGGCCTCTGGTGAAATCCCTTGGCGATGAGACGAGTTTTGAAGCGTTCAATGCTTCCATCCGGACGATGTTTGATGCGATACAGCCACCGATTCCCAATGACTTTGTAGTGAGGAAGCCGGGGAACAAGATCCCAGGTGCGGTTGGAACGTAAAGCGTCAAACTCAGCCCGTAGAGCATCGTTCCATTCCACATAACGAAGAGCTTCCTTGACCGACCTGTGCTCGAGAGGAGGAGTAACCTGCGCAGTAGATAAAGCTTGTGCATACTTGCTGTTAGGTTTATAGATGTTATCCTTAGCCTTGGGAAAAACTGATTTGGGGAAAGGAAATTATTCCTCGTCATGGACTCATTGTATGGTTAGCTATGCATGATTGCTTAACAACTCAGGATAAGCTAATGCGTTGGGCGAAAGTAAAACTCACCTGCTGATGCATTGTTCATATACAAGCTGTGTATTGAAGAAGTGTTTGAAGAAGAGTGCTCCTCCTTATTTTCATACTTGGGAGGCTTTGGTAGACTGCTGCCCCGAGGGGGGGGGGGGGCGACTGCTCAGTCCAAAGCTTACAGATTCAGCTGGTGTGTTGCATTAAGTTGTGTTTGACGTGAGCGTTGTTTGAGAATGTATGGTGCTCAGCCAACTAGATCTCATATGGAGATCAATAGTATAGTGAGAGGTGAAGTACTATGTCGGGCGATTGGTGATCCAGATTCGCAGAGAGTTCTTGACTCCTGAACTTAGTATAGAAGTATAACAGATAGGTTTACTTTATTTGATATAGTAGGTGATTAGCTGATTCTACATGGTATTGTTTGAGAGGCATCTGGGTTTACATATGGCATTATGGCTATGCTTAATGAAATCTTTAGATTCTGTTTTCCGACGAGGAAAAACTTGTGTTTGATTTCAATCAATGCACCTTTGACTTCTTGGACAACGATAATTACACGGTCCACTCCTCTCCGAACAATGTTCGAACGAGGGTGTTTGATGTTTTTGATGGTTTTTTGGGAACAAGCTACGTTAATTACTCCTACTCCTATGGCGGTTCAGTGAGAGCTCCGAAAACTAAGGCTAGGGCTAATTTGCAGAGAAAAGATAAAAGTTTGACTTTGTGCGTCAAATGTTTGGTTGTGGAACCCTTGATTCGTCTTCGTTTCTCCTATTTATAGTCATCCCTTGTAACCGTCGTGCAACCGCCTCTTGGTAACCGCTGCTCCACTGCTTGGTGTTTGATGTAGCTTGCTTGATGCATTGACTGTCTTGCGTGCTTGCCACTTGATAGCTAACCCCTTGTGCCGTGGAGGTGTCTTGTTTGGTGAGTGAAGGCTTCACGCTTGGTGGTACTCGTGCTAACCACCTTGACATGACTTCATGTGTGCTTGGAGGTTTGATGAATCCGACCCCCTTGGGGTGGCATCATGCTTGACACCCTAGTGTTTGGTATCTGGTGTTTGACCCCCTTGGACAGTGTCATGCTTGACTCCTTTGGACGGTTGGATCTCCATACTTAGCCAATTTTCACCTCGGCATCATGCTTGACACCCTAGTGCTTGACCCCCTTGGACGGTGTCATGCATGACCCCCCTGGTGCAAGGTAGGTAGATGGCATAGTGCTTGACCCCCCGAGATGATGTCATGCATGACCCCCTTGTGCTTGACCCCCTTGGACGGCGTCATGCATGAGGGGTCTCAACACTTAGCCAAATTTTGGCTCTCTTTGCCACCACAGTTAGCTCGCGTCTCGTCATACTCAACTCACATTGGATGGTATCATGCTTGACCCCCTTGGATGGTGTCATGCTTGACCCCCCTTGGACGATGTCATGCATGACCTCCCTTGTGCTTGACCCCCTTGGATGGTGTCATGCATGACCCCCCTTGTGCTGTGGGTCTCAACAATTAGCCAAATTTTGGCTTTCTTCGCCCCATCGTGTCTAGGAGGCTGACCCTTTTGCATGACATCATGCTTGACACCCCTGGGATGATGTCATGCTTGACCCCCCTTGTACGAGATTCCCTTGGACGATATCATGCATGACCCCCCTTGTGGTTGTGGGTCTCAACACTTAGCCAAATTTTGGCTTTCTTCGTCCCATCATGTCTAGGGGTAATTACCCGCGAGGTAGGTAGGCGGCTGGTGGGGCGAAATTTTGGCTAAGTATGATGGGGGGTCCACTTGGGTGGTTGATGTTGAAGGGTGTCAACACGCTTGACACTTGACCCCTCTTGCGTGACGGATGGGTGTTTGGTGGGTCAAGTAGTGTGTGTTGAGGTATCTGGTATAAAGCCCAAAATACCATCATTTAGGCCCAGTTTAAATCAATTTAATTAATATGGTTAAGTTGGCCTTATAAATCACTACCACTCCTTGAAAATAATCAATATGGCATTGAATGATTTTTTAGTGGTAAACAGATTCCCATCTAAAAAAATTGGTCATGATTGTACATTTCTGTGGTCGGCCCAAAATAATAGCTTTGTGGATGAATGGTCGCCAATAGGGACAATTCCTTTGGATATGGACGGCCACAGAAAGTAATGATTATCTGCGACCATTTTGTAATAAAATGGTTGCATGTAGGGGTGGCTATACGGTCCGGTCCGGTTAAATTGGCCCAAATTAATCCGGTCCAGTCCGGTTTTTTTGAAAATATAAGGACCGAAGATTGGATTGGATACAGTCCGGTCTTGATCCGGTCCGGTCTTGACCCGGTCCGGTCCCAATTCGGTCTTGATTTTATATTGAGATTGTGGGAATTTGAGTGGCCTAAGGCCTAAAAGGGTGAGGAGTTGGTTAAGTTTTGTACTAAGTGCAATGATTTGTGACCGTTTATACAAATTACCCTTAAGTTTTGGGTGTTGAGCTCTCTTATCCGGTCTTTATCCGGTTTTTTACCTCAAATCTAAGACCAAAGATTGGATTGGATTGTTTACTATCCGGTCCCGGTCCGGTCTCGGTCCGGGTTATACGGTCCGGTTTCCGGTTTTTCATCCGGTCCCGGTCCAAATAGCCAGCCCTAGTTGCATGCATGACTTTCAGCGAGCCCTTATAGCCGACAACCGAGTATTACGAAAATCCATATTCCTGGTTACCAAAAACCTTTAGCCACCACATTCCTACTTATGCGATTGTTCTTAATTGGTGCCGTAGCACATTTTTCTGGAGGTGTCAAATTGGGAATTTTCCCCCCAACGGTCACATTACAAGATAGGAACTTAAATTGTCTATATTTTTATGAAATAAAAATACAATGTCAGTTAACAAAAGCTCAAGAACATGGTAGAATCAACCAAGAGAATTGGTAACGAGCCCACACATGATAAAAAGGTCGACCTAGTCACCTCATTCTACACAAACATCAACTAGCCAAAAAAAAAGGCCATTTGGAGGTCACGGGTACCTACAGTCTTTTTTCGACGAGTTCCATCGACAAATGAAATGTCGATATCCACTGGACACGTACCTCCCGAAAAGCCCGTCGTCAGAGATATCCCACACGGAAATGTAGAAATTCCTGTGCCTATCTGCATCGTACGCATCGAAAGAAAGATGCTTATCTTCTACCGCGAGGTTGCACCAGAAAAGGGTCGCACGAAAGCTGTCCAACTCGAACTGCCAGCTGATGCTCTCGTTAATGGCAACGCCATGAGCACCCATATCGTCGTCTTTCGATTGGCAATGCACTATCAACACCTTGCTGCTCAGCTTGTTGATAACTTCAATCGCCCGTGTCTGGCCGATTGAGGGTCGCAGTGGCGGAGGGAGGTAAGGAGGAGAGGGGTCCTAGGACCCCACTTGGCAAATAATTGGACAACAAAATCCTTTAAATACATAGGTTTTAGTACGATAATTCAAGTTTAGGACCCCATACTCTCAACGATGTTAGCTCACCAAGGACCCCGGTTAACTCAAAATTCATTAGGTACACAAGCATTTATGTTAGTAAGATTTTAAGGACCCCAGTAGACTCGATGGCTGGCTACGCCACTGGAGGGTCGTGCCATTGTTGCTATTATGGTCGCTAAAACTATGGCTGCTGTTGTACTATTTTGGACGACCAACTGCTTCCTGATCATTGTGATGTATGTTTAATGCTTCCTTTGAGGTGGGTTTAGGGATTTATTTATCATTAATAATGACGTTAAAATAAGGTGGGATAATGCACTCGATCGACCGCTCTTCTCTGTTGTGCTTTGGAGTAGTGTCATTTTAGGGGACGGTTTCTAATTAGTTCTTAATTGTGTCTCAATGTTAATTGGGTGTATTGTGGATTCCCCACCGTCCGGCGATTTCCTTATTTGATTAAAATCTGAAAAATTATATCTCTTCTCCTTTTAGTTTAGAATTTATTATTTTTTTTTATAAAAAATTTAGATTAATTACGCTATATAAAATGATTTCAACCTTTGATATATTTTGGAAAAAAGAAAATAATTAGGACATTTTTTCATCACAGTTTAACATGATGATAATTTATGATGGTACATTAGATTATACTATGATTGTAGGAAAATATATAATGATACTAGGAATATATAAATAGTTTAGAATTATTTTACACATGGTAGTAGTAACATACTGCCATCTATTATAGTCTATTTCCATCCTACCATTATGGTAGAGAGTAGGGATGGTAATTACCCACCCATGGGTAATTTTACCCAAATCCAAATAGATTCATTTAGTATGGGTAGGGTTTGGATGAAGTGTATATGGGTTTGGGGGGTTTGTAGATTGGTTTGGGTTAGGTATGGATATTGCTTTAATAATGTAAATGGGTATGAGTTGGATATGGATATCCATTTACTTGAGGGTGTTTTAACTCTACACACAAAAATTGGACCTATTTGTAAAACTTGAAAAGTTTAGGTACCAAAATGTAAGACCAAAAAAATTTAGGTACCAAAACGTAATTTTCCATCGATATTTTGAGGACTTATATTAAAAAAATTAAATTTAGGTACTAAATTTGCATATCTATTAAGTTTAGGTACCAAACTGTAATTTGCCTTTGGGCATGGGTACAAACCCAAATCCATGTGTTAAAAACCCAACCCAACCCAAGTAAATGGGTATGGGTACAAATTCATCAAATTCTACCCATCTACCATTTATTTGGAATTCATACCCAACCCAATTGGGTTGGATAGTAAAATACCCATGGGTATGGGCAAAATTGCCATCCCTAACGAACAAGGGATTGGTCTAGTGGTAATACCACTAGCCATGAACCTAGAAGTACCAGGTTCGAATCCCTTCAGTAGTACCTAGTAACAAAAAAAGTAACTTATATCACCCTTATCTATAAAATTGCCATCCCTAGTAGAGAGTGGTATAGTTGGTCTGAACCTCTTCCCACAGAAATTAAAGAGATGTATATTATTTGTAGATTATAATGAACCATTTCTATTTATGCAAAAATATTCAAAATTCGAATACAACACAACACTTGGTTCGGTACAACTGTACAAGATGGTTCACACTCGCTTTTTTCTACTCATTTCTTCCACACAGACACACAGCACTTGGTCGGTACAAGATGGTTCACACTTGCTTAATTTGTTCAATTCTTTTTCTTCAATAAAAAAACACTACTACACTTGGCAGAAGATGGTCCTCACTTGCTTTATTAATCATTCGAATCTTTTTGGCACAATATAGTAAACGAGCCACAAAATTAAAATACAGAATAATTTATAAACCAATTGAAACAGATAAACAATGACACCCAAAAACTAACAACTAAAGACACTGACAAACTAGAAACTTATAAATTCCCGCAAACCAAATATCTATCGTGGTTGTGAATTTCTTCCTGCAAAAGATAAAAGTTAAGTTACGAAAAGGTAATTATAGGGCTTTCTCAAAATAGGATTTATAACCTTAGGCTTCATAATTATAGGAAATCAAATCTGGATCATTCTTTTAAATGACTACAGATCTAAGGATGGAGAATTAAAGAAATTTATTTTTCATAGTTTTCTTGATTGGATCATATTTTCTTCATTCTAACTCGGATTTCAATTTTTTTTCCATAGATGGAACGAGTTTGTTGTGCCCTACAAAATGATATCAATTTGCAGTATTTTTTGAGAAATTTTTTTTTATACCTCTCGTTACCAACTCCATACCATATGGTATATTCTTCGTTTTTAGTTGTTTTCGGAAATTGTTTGCACAGAAAGACTGATTTAATCATGATCCTTTGGATTTCAAAAATTTATGGGTGAAAAAATTTCATACCTCTCGTTACCAACTCCATACCATATGGTATGCTTGTATTTAATATCAGTCAATACTATATGGTATAGATTGGTAATAACTGATTCAAATTTTTTTGTTCCAAAAATTATCAAAGTGGATATCATTTTGAGAGCACAATTAATCTGATCTAACTGTGCAAAAAAATTAAATTTCAACTTAAAATGAGTGAGAAATCGTCTATTAAAGATTAAGGGAATGAAAATTAAAGGCTTTTCAAGGAGAGAGAAAGGGGCGCTGATATGGCGAATTCTGATAGGGTTATGCATGTGGTTATGCACCACAAGGTTATTCACCAGATGTGCTCCCTTGTCCATATCATGGTAGTAAAGACCTATTTTGTCAGGCCGAAGATACGGTCAGTAACAATTGGTTACTAAACTATGAGTAGCTAAATCTGGAACTTTAGATCTAAGTTGGCTCATAAAATCCAGATCTAAGGGTTGTGAATTAAATGCATTTTATTTTCCCTAGTTTTCTTAATCGGCTCTTATCTTCTTCGTTCTAACTCGAATTTCAATTTTTTTGTACAGATCGAATGAGTTCGTTGTGCTCTACAAAATGAGATCAATTTTTAATATATTGTGAGAAATGTTTTTCATACCTCACGTTACCAACTCCATACCATATGATAACTTCTTCATTTTTAAGTCATTTTTGAAAATATTTGCTCAGACGGACCGAGTTCATCATAATCTATTAGATCTATAAATTTCTGGGTGAAAAAATAGAGGACCAAAAATTACCATACTTTACCACTCTGGTATGGGGGTGGTAACTTGTGATAAACAATGATGAACGTCGTAAATGACAGTTAGTATACTCCTACTATCATGTATTTAACTTTCCTAAACTCTTGATATGTTCATACAATCATGGTACGCTTTCTTACCATATAATATGCTCCTATTTAATACAATATGGTATTGAATGCTAATCGAGAATCGATTTTTCCGCCCTACCAAAACTAACAACTAAAGACAATGACAAAATAGAAACTAGTAAATGCCCGCAAACCAAATATGTATCGTGGTCCGTGAGGGGGCTACAAATCTAATCACATAGGATAAGGCAATTGTATATTGACATGTGTGGCATTGGAAAACCACAAACCAATTTTGGAATGGGACGGGAGAAGTACTTCATGTTATCTTTTTATGGCAACGTGTCAGTCTCATCTTGGGTTTATGAGATCTTATTTTTGGCAAAACCCACAAAACGAATCTTGGACTAGATAGGGTTTTCTATCTATAATACTATATAGATTGGCAAGGTAAGTGTCGCTCCTCTCACACACACAACCCTAATCCAGCTAGCAAACTAAAGCAGTAAAAAAAATAAAAAAAAATGAACCGTCCGGTATCGACACTACCAGAATACTTTGCCCTCAAGAGCAAGTCCAACGGCAAGTACTTGAAGTACCGTCGCGACGATCCCAAGGCACGCGCCGTGCTCCAGTTCTCCGGCGACGAGCTCGTGGATGTTCTCGTCAAGTTCTTCTCAGATGGAGTCACCGGGCCCGATGGGGGAAGCTCCACGACGTACCACCTGAGGTGCTGCTACAACAAGAAGTACTGGCAGAAAGTCAGCCAGAGCCAGGGCGAGAGCCTCATCATCGGAGGAGGAGACACTCCTGATGACGACATCTCCAAGTGGTCGTGCACGCTCTTCAGGCCCGAGTTCCAGGAAGAGGGAGTCGCCAGACTGGTGCACGTCCAGTCTGGCGGCTACCTCGGTCGTGGCTCCTCGGACCCTGCTGCTGTTGGCGGCCCCGACTGCCTGGTAGTCGTCGCAGCAGCAGAGCGAGCGGAGGTGTGCGAGGTGGTGAACTACAGGGAGGCGGTGGTGACGCTGCCTAAGCTCGTTGCGTTCAAGGGAGACAATGGCAAGTACCTCAAGGCTTCCCACATCAAACCAATTATAATGCAGGGCGGGATGCCGAAGATGAATGCCCCTACTTACAAAACACTCCAGTTCACCGGCGAGAAACTTTCCGACCCGTCGGTGTCCCATGAGGTGTTTGTGAACCCGGCGGATGCTACCATCTCCATCAAATCTGGTTCAGGAGGAGAGAAAGGGTTCTGGAGGCGGAACGAATACGTGGAGAACAGGATTTTCTTGGTGGAGTCTGAAAGAGATCACCCCGACTTTCACGACAAGGAAACGCTGTTTAAGGTGCACAGATTGCACCCTTCGCAGCCGCTGTATGGCCTTATAAGCTGCGGCGCTAACATGCCATGCAAGCGAGTCGATCACCCCACGTACCGCCATTGCCTCCGAGCACAAGACGTAGACGTGGAGCCATACAACAAACTTTCGGTGGAGGAGCCCATCGTTTGGAGGCGCATGTACGAGGCTGATTTCAAGACGGCGGACGCCAGAATCTACCCGGTGGAGCAGCCAAAAGTCGAGGTACTGATTCATCCAAACGAGACCACACAAGTCTCGAAGGTGAAAGTACAGGTTGGGAAGACAGAGAGCCATGCTACTTCTTGGAGCAACAGTTATGGTTGGAAGATAGGCGGCTCCGTTGAGCTGACCACGGATTTCACAGGGATTCCGCTCGTGAAGGAAGCAAAGGTCGTGGTTTCGGGCGAGCACTCTGAGGAGAAAAGCGAAGGAGGATCCCAGGAAGAGAGCAAGAGCTCGGCGGTTGAGGTCGAGATCCCCGTGCCTCCTAAGAAACAGTTGAGAATTACGACGACGGTGACCAAGACGGCCTGTGACGTTCCTTTCGATTACTCGTACACCGAAATGCGTCACGATGGCACCACGGCAGACCTGCGGGTCCAAGACGGCCTCTTCACTACTACCACAACCACGACGGTGGTTGCGACCAAAGAAGAAGAGCTGGGGACCAAGTGATATATATTATATTTTTTTTTATCAATTGTTAATATTAGGGGTGGTGGAGATTCGAACACACGATCACTTGGCCAAACCAGCTCTGATACCATATCAAGAAGGGTAATTAGCATAAATGGTAACAAACCTTTGCACTTAGTACAAAACGGTAACAAACCTTTAATTTGTAACAATACGGTAATAAAACTTTGAAATTGTATAAAATGGTCACCGCTATTTAATTTGTGACCGTTTTGTTTTAAATGAAAAGGTTTGTTACCGAATCGTTACAAATTAAATGTTTGTCATGTTTTGAGGTCGGGTAGTTTGTTCGTTAAGTATATGACACTAACCACTTGAACGACATATAAGATGTCAGCTCATGTGTTCATCGACATATTTGCTTTGCCAAATAAGAATGCCCTCAGTTGACCTTTCAATTTCGATACCAATCTATCAAAAACAAATTTCGATACCAAGAAAGTAGACAGAGTTTTTTCAACTAAAAAGCAGTCTGGAACCCGTTTGTGAGCCATTGGATTCTCTCATTGTCATCCTTTATGACGATCATATCATTCACATACATTAACAAAACCACCATACAACTAGAGCGAATTGTAACGGTGATTGAGCGTTCAAACTTTTGAACTTAATTTGTACAAAACGGTCACCAAAAGTCTAATTTGCATCGACACGGTAACAAAAGTTTGAACTGGTATGAAATGGTCACACTGTTTAATTTATGACCGTTTTGTTCTAAGTAAAAAGTTTTGTTATCAAATGGTTACAAATTAAAAGTTTGTGACTGTTTTGTACTAAGTGCAAAGGTTTGTGACGATTTATGCTAATTACCCATATCAAGAACCAGTTGATCCCAATAATTCGAGTTGTTGGGAGAAGGTTTTGCTGGATCTTATACCACTCTCTAACATATAGGGAGGATGCCACTTGGGAGGAGACGGCGACTCTCCGGCAGCGCTTTCCAACATTCGAACTTGAGGGCAAGGTCGTTTCTGATGGGGAAGGGGATGATAGAGACCACCCAGTGGGGTGAGTGGGTAGGAGGAGGCGGGTTGGGTTCAGCTTTGTGGGCCGGGTTTGAGTGGCAGTTTTGTTATTTCCTGTTAGTTCTCTGAAACTCATTAAAAAGGGTTCAGCTCTGTTCTTCTCCAATTCTTTCCGATCTCTAATTCTTCTTCTCAATTTCCAATCCCATCCCACGATACCGCGTTGAATTCGAGGAGGTGGCCTCTGAGGTCGATTTCTTTTGACGCGCGGTGCACTATCACCTTTGTCTTTCATATTCTAATTGAGTATTAGTTGGGTATGGATTTGTCCATTCTCTTGATACTATTGAAATAAAAATAAAATTTTAGACCTATTAGTAAAAAATTTGCAAGTTTAGCCATTAAGGTGTCCAACGAACATATTTTAGGTACTATAATGTAACTTACATTGGTTGTTGGACTTATGCTAACTTTAGGAGTTTATTTGAAAATTTATGAAATTTAGATACCAAATTGTAATTTTAACATAATTATAAATCCAAATCCATGGATTTAAACTCAACCCAACCAAATTAATTTAATTAAATGAGTATTAGTATTAAATCCATCAAACTTTAGCCATTTATGGTGTAGTTGGATTTCGTACCGAACCCAACCGAGTTGAATAAGAAAAAAAATTCAAAGATTTGGACAAAATTGTGATTCCTATACATATATTCATAATTAAGAGTTATACACTCAACCTTGGATCTCAAAATTTCCCACCTTCAATGACCGTTCTCAATGATTTTGAAAAATAGAAGTTCTTGGCTACGATAGTACATTTCTGTTGGCGGCCCAAACTAATAGCTTTTGTGGATGAATGGTCGCCAAAGGGCAATTCCTATGGATTTTAATGAAACGGTCACAGAAAGGAATGATTTTGTGCGACGATTTTATAATAAATGTTGCATGACCTTCAACGAGCCATTATAGGCGAGTATTGTAAATATCCCTGTTCCTGGTTACCAAAAACCTTTAGCCACCACATTCATACTTTTGCGATTGTTCTTAATTGGTGCCGGCGCGTATTTTTCTTGTGCTGTAAATTTGAAAGAACTTAAACTGTCTATATTTTTTGAAAATAAAAATACATTGTCAGATACAAAAAAAAAAAAAAAAAAACTCAAGAACATGGTTAAATCAACCAAGAGAATTTATAACGAACCCATACATGATAAAAAGGTCGACCTAGTCACCTCATTCCACACCAACATCAATTAGCCAAAAAAAATTTCCATTTGGAGATCACGGGTACCCACAGTCTTTTCCCGACGAGTTCCATCGACAAATGAAATGTCGATATACACCAGACACGTACCTCCCGAAAAGCCCGTCGTCACAGACTTCCCACACAGAAATGTAGAAATTCCCGTGCCTATCTGCATCGTACGCTACGAAAGAAAGTCGTCTATCTTCGACCGCGAGATTGCACCAGAAAAGTGTCCCACCAATGATGTCCAGTTCGAACTGCCAGCTGATGCTCTCGTTGAAAGAGATGGCGTGGGCACCCATATCGTCGTCTTTGGATTGACAATGCACTATCAACACCTTGCTGCTCAGCTTGTTGATAACTTGAATCGCCCGTGTCTGGCCGATCGAGGGTCGTACCATTGTTGCTATAATTATGGTCGTTAAAACTATGGTTACTGTTGTTCTATTTTGGACGACCAACTGCTTCCTAGTCATCTTGAATTTTTTATTATGTCTGTGAGTATGTCTAATGCTTTATTTAGTTGGTTTAGGGATGCATTTATCCTTGATAATGACGTTAAAATAAGGCGGGATAGTGCACTCGACCGCTTTCCTCTTTGGGAACGTACGGCTCTATTTGTGCTTTTGAATTAGTGCCATTTCAGGGGACGGCTTCTAATTAGTTCTTAATTGTGTCCCAATGTTAATTGGGTGTATTGTGGATTCCCCACCATCCGGCGATTTCCATATTGGATTAAAATTTGAGGAATTATATTTCTTTTCGTTTTAGTTTGAAATTTAATTTTGTTTTATAGAAAATTAGGTTAATTATGTTGTATGAAATGATTTCCAATTGGTCCGGAAGATTATACTTTGGCGGTATGAAAATATATAATGGTAGAAGGAATATTACACATTATTAATATTAAATCACAAGTAGACTGCACTGTTGCATACGATTTTTTCTCCGATTCACTATTCACTATGGGATTGTATATTGTACGGCCGGTTTTATTGTCATAACCTCATTCAATTAATTTTCCTCCAATTAATTTTCCTCCCTAAGTATCACACGGATGCTTGCCAAACTTTTCCGGTTCTTTTATTTTTTTTTTATTTCCCCTTTTGTTTAGTTTTACAAAGAAGGTTTTCATTCATTATAACTTGAAAGTTATAAAATGCGTCAAGTAATGATTACAGAATGACACTTATTTTTAACGTAATAGTTATATTAGACATGTTACGTTTTCGCAACGATTTGGCACTTTATGCAATATGATGTTATGATATGTGAAAAGACCATCGTAACGTAAGACTCATTTTACAACTACTATGTAAGATCTAAATACATTACGTAAAGGTTACAAAATTTAACAATAATCAATGTCATAGTTTAAGTTGATTAAGACAATACCGTAATGATTAAGACACTATGAAAGTATATCACTTAAACTATCTATTGTGTATTATAAGTTTGAAAGAAAGCTTAAACTAAGTATTATGTATCAAAAGTTTGAAAGATATTTTTTATTATTAACTAATTTGTTGAACATCTCATCAATTTACATTACACAAAGGTTCTGTAAGGTCGACTATTTTTTACGTCATATTTTAATCAAATGTGAACTTTTCTTAACTTAAATTCTTTATTATTGACTAAAGTATCCATTATCTAATTTGCATCAAGGTGATGTTATTATTAGACCACATGTTATTGATTGATTATGTATCACACGTTCAATAACAGTCATGTAAATTACAAATCCATTCCGTACAAATTATGGACGACTAATTGTTTCTTATTTATAAATTAGAAATGTATTATTTAAGTCTACTGTGATGATTAAGACACTACATAAATGTTCTTGAGAGATAGTTATTTCATCACTTAAACAATCATATCATGCAAGTCTTCTCTATCATAAGTTTGAGCAAAAATTTCTATTATTAACTAAACTATTGATCATCTCATCAATTTAGATTACACAAAGGTTTTGTAAGGTGAGTTATTTTTTAGTCCCATTTTAATACTTTTTCACTTAATTCCTTTATTATTAACTAAAATATCCACTATCTCATCAATTTGCGTTACACAAGGTTCAATAATGACAAGTAACTTTTACATAACACTTTTATGAAATGTGATATCTTAAGTAATTTGATTTATTATTAGATCACACATTACAATTATGTAATATCTTTACAATAGATTTATGTAATATCGTTCAATTATGTAAACTTATGGAGGGATAATAATTTTAGACTTTGGGTGCTTGAGTTAATTATTAAAACACACAAATTACATATTTATGTAACACTGTTCTAGAATAATTACTTGAGTTATAAATTCATAACATAAATATAATGGAGTGATGATTTTCTTATGTATCAATTAAATAAACATATTAGATAATTATATCTTAATAATTAACACACACTAATTAAAACTTATAGAAGTATAGTTAATCAAACAAATACGATACTTTTGTAACTGAATTCCTTTACTATGAGCTAAACTATTAATCATCTCATAGTTTGCATTATACAAAGGTAATGTAAGGTCAATTAACTTCTACATAACAGTTAATCAAATGTGATACCTTTCATGACTTGATTCTTTTAGTAGACCATTACGAAAGATTAATGTAACACCTTTCTATAACAGTTACATAAATTATGAATACATTGCTTAAAACTTATGAATTGGGATAGATATTTCATATGTGTGGTTATTAAACAAATATATTACGTACTTTTTCATAACTACTAATTAGACACTACGTTTTTTTTATGGAGGGATAGTTAGTTTCTATGTATCTATTAAACAAGTGTTTTGCATATATGTTCATAACGACTAGCCGAATGGTTATGTAATTATTATTTTCAACAAAATCACCAGGAATGAATTTTAAAATAAATTTAGTTTCTTTCCGCCGCGAAGCGCGGGCCAATAAACTAGTGGTAGTAATAACATAATAACTGCCATCTACCACCGTCTACTTTCTATCATATCAGTATGGTAGAGGTCGGTATAATTGGTTCGAAATTTTTTTCCACATAAATGTACCGAAAATGTTATAAATGTACCGAGAATGTATATATAGACTATTTTGTTGATCATAATGTGAATTTTTTTTGAAAAATCGAGTAGAACGAATGAGGTAAAGGGTGATAGTGGTGGTGGTATCAAAATCGAAATTAAATTGAAAGAGTGTTTACACCATAAATTTTGTCTTGTACCACATTGGTGAGTTACAAGATAATCAAAGAGTTTATAAGGCCACACCCATTATAACAATTAATGTTGTTTAAATTGGGCCTTATGGATATTGATTTTAAACCCAAGTCACTAGCTCATTAATGAGCATGGACATGATTCAATAAGGGACATGGGCCTCTTGTTAGAAGCCATGCCATGCCACGAGATGGCATGAAAATTTTTAAGTATGAGAAGTCCGTGGCCATGAATGAAGAGGCCATGCCGCCTCATAACCAAGACCAAACGACACAAAAACATGTCCATCTAGAATTTAGAAGCACATGCCATCTCAAGGAAGACCTCGATACGGTCAAAAATATTCTAAGTCTCGAGAAGGGCATGCCACTTCACGAAGAGGTCATGCCGCCCCATGACCAAGGCCTAATGACTAAAAAATAAACTAAGTCTGAAAGAGGTACATGCCACTTCAAGGAGAAGCACGTGCCGCCTCACGAGAAGGGGCATGGACGCGAGACAAGATGAGACGTTCATGCCACTTCACGAGAAGGGGCATGGACGCAAGAAAAGATAGTAAGTATGAGAGGGCCATGTTGTGTCACGAGAAGGGCCACAGACATGACTGAGAAGTCCATGGCCGCGAATGAGGAGGCCATGTCGCCTCATGATCCAAAATATACTAAGTCTGAGAAGGCCATGCCGCCTCACGAGAAGGGTCATGTGCATGATTAAGAGGTCCATGGCCATGTCATGTGATGACCATGGACGCGAAGCAAGAAGCATTAGAAATGATTGAAAATACTAAGTTTGGAAAGGCCATGCCGCCTCATGAGAAGGGCCTTGTGCATGATTGAGAGGTCCATGCCACCTCACGAGGATGGCCATGGACACGAATGAGAAGGTCGTGGTGGTGGAGCATTATATCACTAGTGACTAAGTCCCAAGAAGGCCATGGACATGAGTAAGAAGTTCATGGCCGTAAGACAAGAAGGCCATGGACATGAGTAAGAAGTCCATGACCGCGAGGCAAGAAGACCACGACCCCCTTTGTGAGACACCACATGCTCATCAAAAGACTAGCATGACACGAGATTCAGAACAAGACTAGGCGAGGCAAGCTACACTCCAAGGCCCACGACGGTTACAAGAGAGGCCCCTAGGCGGTTGAAGGAGTAACCACCACTCCGAGGAAGCAGGGAGCGGTTCTTTTTGGGAGTTATCCAAGGGGCGGTTTTTCTACCGAAGAAGGGGGAGCGGTTCTTTGTAGTAGTTATCCAACAAGCGGTTTTCTATGGCGGTTACCTCCTCGGGGCTATAAATAAGAGGAGGGGTCGACAGAGACAAGGGTTCCAAAACCAACACTCTGACACACATGTCAAGTTTATCCTTTACTTTTTCTCTATCATGTAGTCATAGATGTAGTTCGTAGTTTGGAGCTCTCGTCGAACCTCCATAGGAGTAGAAGTAATTTAATTTAGATCTCGTTCCCAGAAACCATCAATCAAACACCCTCGTTCGAACTTTGTTTGAAGAGGTTTGAGCCGTGTCTTAGAAATCGTTGCCCAAAGAAGTCAAAGGTGCATTAATCTCATTTCAACGCAAGTTTTCTCGCTGGAAAACAAAGAGATACAAGTTAATTATAAGAAGTTTAAACCATTTTAAAGAATGAATTATCTAGCTAGCTGGTCTCTCATAATAAAAACTACGAAGTAAATATGACATGCATTTGTGCCATGGATATTGTGGAAAGCATGAGTGCATGACAATAAAACTCTATGTTCGAATTTTTTATTATTATCCAGAACCTCAGCCCCACGTGTCACTTTGTGACATCGGGAACTACTAAAGCTGGGGCCGATGGAGGGATATGGTTAGCTGGATGGATAAGAGTAGTTGGATCCATTTGTGGGATGCGAATATTCCACCGAAGTTGAAGATATTTGCCTGGCAGATTTTTAACCGCATCCTTTCTACTATGGAGGCCCTTGTTGAGAAGAAGGTGTCGGTTTTGCCGCGGTGCCCGGTGTGTTGGGCTGAGCGGGAGTCTGTGGAGCATTTGTTCCTTTATTGCCCAGTTGCCCGAGCCATGTGGGACTACTCTGGATTGGAGTTTCTGGGAGAGGGGCTTCCACGACAGAGTTTCCCGCTTTTTCTTAAGCGGCTAGTGGCCCTTATCCATCAGCCGGCTCTGTTCATGGAGGTG